TATATATATATATATATATATATATATATATATATATATATATATATAATATATATATATATATATATATATATATATATATATATATATATATATATATATTTACATATATAATATATATACACACACACACACACATACATCATGTATGATACATATTACTTTTGCAAAAACAACTTACTAAAACCAGCACTGATACAAGAAACTCCGGAACAAAAAAAACGTGCAAGATTCTCGTACTCTAATTTTTTTTCAATATTAATAGCTGAATCCCTCGTAGGCAAAAGTACCATTTTATGAGAAAGTCATAATCGTATTTTTGTTATAGGTAGCTTATTTCTAGATTAGGCATTTTAATTACTATAAAAGGTATCCAATAATCTGACATAATGATTTTTAAATATCTTAATATAGTAATAAATATTCATATTAGCATTTTAAAAAACATTCACAAAATGAAAAACAGATTCAGATTCAGATATTTGTGAAAATCGATGTAAGTTCCCAGCATGTTGAGACCTGTAGTGTGTGCGCAATGCGGAGACCTGTACTCGCACATTACGCGTCTCAAAGCCTTTGTGATAAAGCGGAAATATCTTTGGACCTAACGTAGTGGCGCTTTAATCATCAAAATTCATTATCTTTTTTTTTTTTTTAATTTCTTTTGTCAAAACTTTACAAATTCGTGATCATAATATAAACTGATTCGTTTTCAATGTATAAAATAAAGTATCGTACATATATATATATACATATATATATATATATATATGAAGACCACACGGGTAAAACCACAGATGTCCACTTTTTGAAAATTTCAAGTTTTATATATTTTTATGATATTTTAGTATTAACCTATTTTAATTTAAAAATTCATAACAAAAAAACTATGTTTTAAGGTTCTATGGTCATTTAAAAAAAAGGGCAACTTTGAAACAACCACTGTTGTCCAATGTTTACCGCGTAAAAAACAAGTTATTTTTAACTAAACCAATGATAATAAAAGCGTAAGTCACATGACTAACTTTTCGGATGAAGTAAACAACAGAAAAACATTTAAAAAAACATTTTGATTTTTTAAAATGTTTTTCTGTGAACGTGAATCGAATTTTTTTTATTTAAAGAGGGGGAGGGGGCGGTGGCTTTATTATCCCATCACACACTTAGTACGTTGTAGTTGTAAATTACAATGTGTTACCATCTACCTTAAAAAAAAATAAGTGCTCTAAAAGGTTACAATCTAACGTAATTTACGAGTTGATGAGTTTACAACGGAAAAACAACAGATGTCCAAAATGAGTGTCTTGTTTTCAAAAGAACATTGTGAATAAATAATACTTGTATTTAGCACAAAAACTGCGTTTTTATATTGTATAAGGACTAAAATGTCAGAAAAATATACTTTTAATTAAATAAATTATTAATAAACAGATATCTAAAGTCACTAAACACTAAATTTCATTTTTCTCGAAATGAGAAAAATGTGACATCTGTGGTTTTACCCGTGTGGTCTTCATATATATATATATATATATATATATATATATATATATATATATATATATATATATATATATATATATATATATATATATATATATATATATATATATATATCGAGGGAGGTTTGGTATTATACTGTGTATAATACCAAACCCCCTCCCCCCACCATTTTCTATCTTGTAAGCTATGAACGATTTCATTTCTATATGGAATGCCTTGACGACAGTCTCTTGGAAAAAGACTGTCGTCAAGGCATGAAAAGGTCAAAGAAAAGTCATTAATTGTTTAAAAAAATCTTGTATCATCAAAACAAACTAAAAAGATGGCAGAAGTTAATGATGATGGTTTGTTCAAATCTTTGACATAAGAGCACGACCATTTGTGAGGATTAGATCCCAGTACCTTCCAAGAATAGCTCTTAGTGGAATCTTACATTGGTTTAGACTGCGATGTACTAATCACATGTTTACAAGCTACAGCTACTGAAGTCTTTTTGAAAGCAACAATAATGAAAATAGCGTAAATAAAGGTGTAGAAGTGGAATTCACCACGCCCATCTGGTTTTCAATTAAATGATGCTATTGAAACATAAAATGTAAAAATATCCCGCAATCTCATTGGAATTGCAATTTTGTAAATCTGACAATAATGGTGAGCTTCGCGAGCAATTTGAACAAACAAGTGCAAATATTGATGCATATGTAGAAAAGCCAGCGAAAATGTAATGGTTTATTTAAAACACTGCAAAGAGCTAGAAGATAAAGCTGGAGACAGCTCTTTCAGCGACCAATTAATAAAAGAAAGAAGATGGAAGTTGATGAAGAAGGTAAACCAAATATAACATGATTATAATTTGTTTTTAAAGTGAATGATTCATGATGTTTAAAATTGATGTTTAAAATCAGCTGTTTTTTATTCTTGACATGTTTCGTAAAATTTATTTACATTTTTATAAGATTATTTTACAATAATAAAACTCTGAAATAAATATTAAAAAATAGAAGTCTTTACAATAATAACGGACAAAAATTATACATAATAAACCAATATATTTATTACAAAATAACTCGGTAAATAACCAATCAAAATAACCAACTGTCAATAAAAAAATAATAAACTGACAGTAAAATTAAATAGATAAGTTTATAGTATAATGTGAATTTTGTTCATTAAGTCAAGGACTAGAATAAATGAGCACCTTAAAAGTGATAAACAATCTCATATATTTAAACACTTAAATTTATCCATTAATTGCAAAAACCTGGCTAGTTTAATTTTTTTTTTGACAGTTGGTTATTTTGATTGGTTATTTACAGAGTTATTTTGTAATAAATATATTGGTTTATTATGTATTATTTTTGTGCGTTATTATTTCTCTGTAAAGATCTATTTTTTAATATTTATTTCAGAGTTTTATTGTTGTAAATTAATCTTTTAAAAATGTAAATAAATTTTACGAAACATGTCAAGAATAAAAAACATCGTGTTATTTTTAATATATATATATATATATATATATATATATATATATATATATATATATATATATATATATATATATATATATATATATATATATATATATATATATATATATATATATATATATATATATATATATATATATATGGAAAACTTAATAGTCTAGAAAATATATATATATGGAAAACTTAATAGTCTAGAAAAAAAGGTTTTTATTTGCTAAAATATTTTATTTAAATAATGGCAATTACAAATCATTGTTTCAAAGTTACAGAATATCATTTTCTCCAATTCTATTTTTTAATTATTTTGTATAATTTTTCAGATATTTTTTTTTTTCATTGTAACTACTGTTTTTTGGTAACATTAGCGTGGATCTTCTTTCTCTCCGCTCTTGGTACAATTTACTTTTAGATTTACTTGCAAAGAAATATTGAATGAAGCAAAACTAAAGTTTAAATATCTCTGGTTTAACTTTGATGAGCAAATTATTATCATTTCTACCTTGATTGGTCGATGATTAATATCATGCAGAACTTTGTCGGCTAATGCAAAAACTTTGAACTAATTTTTTTATATAAATACCATTTATATAAAAAAATTATATAAAAAGGCTTTGCATAAACTAAAATTTTGAAGACCAGATATTTTTCCAGATTTTGCAAATCGCGATCGCCTAATTCAACTCTTGCAAGGGTAACTTTCATTTTTTAAAAAAAGAGATTTTTGTTTTTGACTATCCATAATGTTTGATTCATGTTTAAAACTTGTGATACTAGATATGTGTGTTTACTAACGTTTCTGGTCTAATCTATTTATAGTTTTTTTTTCATTTTCTAGTGTAAAATTTTACAAATCTACTCATCTAAAATTTTACAAATGCCAAGGAAGTGTGTAAATTTAGTGGATAATTTTTGTTACTTTTGTGGTGAAATAACATTTTTCTCACAGAAAAGAACTATGACACCTCTTGTGCAGACTGCTTACCAGCATTACTTCAATATGAAGGTAAGGAATCAGGATTAATAAAGCTCTTGTTCGGTTAAACTACAAGAATGGTTGAAAAATAAAAAAAAGATCTTTGCCTTTTGCTGTTCCTATGGTATGGAGAGAGCCTAAAAACCATACAGATGACTGCTATTTCTGCTTGACCCCACCCATTAAGGCAGGTTTGTCAATGAAGAAAATAGGATCAGTTAAATATCCAAATCTTTCCTCTGCCACTCGGCCTATTCCTCATTCAGATAGTTTACCAGTTCCTACTCCACCACAAAGTTATGAGTTAGAAGCAGAAAATGAATACGGAAATGATGTAGAAATAGAAGAAAACAGGCCTTCTACATCAAATGATCCTGATTTTTTGTTAACAGATGTTGTGCCACACAGATTGAGTCAAGCAGAATTAAGTGATCTTGTTCGAGATCTGGACTTGTCACAGGAAAAGGCAGAACTTCTAGGGTCAAGACTAAAGCAGTGGAATCTTCTCCAATTTGATGTCTAGGTTTCACATTATAGAAAACGGCAGCAGAATCTGCTTTCTTTTTTTGAGAAGAAAAATAATCTTGTTGCTTGCATTAATGTTTTTGGATTGATGTATTGTCTTAATTTGAATGACCCAACTGAATGGAGATTATTTATAGACTCATCTAAGCTAAACTTGAAAGCTGTATTACTGCACAACGGAAACCATCTTCCTTCTGTTCCTATTGGCCATGCAGTTCACATGAAAGAGACTTATATAAACATGAAAGTTCTCCTCAACTCAATTAATTACAATGAACACAAATGGAAAATTTGTGGTGATCTAAAAGTCATTGCTATACTTTTAGGAATGCAATTAGGGTATACTAAATACTGCTGCTTTTTGTGTATGTGGGATAGTAGAGACAGAAGTTCACATTATATAAAAGAAGACTGGCCTGCAAGAAATCTCAACACAGAAGAAAAAAATGTTATTGCTGAACCACTTGTGGATCCAAAAGATGTTCTTCTTCCACCATTACATATTAAGTTGGGTTTAATGAAAAATTTTGTCAAAGGTATGAACAAAGAAGGACAGGCTTTTATGTATTTAAGAAACAAATTTCCAAAAATAAGTGATATAAAAGTTAAAGAGGGTGTTTTTGTTGGACCACAAATACGCCAGCTTATGAAGGATCCTGCATTTGACGAAGTTTTGAAAGGGCAAGAAAAAGAAGCTTGGGAAGCTCTTAAGGGAGTGATTTGTGGATTTTTAGGCAACAAAAGAGATGATAACTACATTCAATTGGTAACAATACTTCTGCAAAAATACCATCAACTTGGATGTAACATGTTCCTCATAATTCATTTCCTCCACTCACACCTAGACTTCTCCCCCCCCCCCCTAATTGTGGAGCTGTTAGTGATGAACATGGGGAAAGGTTTCACCAAGTTATTTCTGTAATGGAACAAAGATATCAGGGTCGTTGGAATGAGGCTATGCTTGCAGATTACTGTTGGTTTTTGTGTTGGAATGCTCCAGAACTAGTCTACAAAAGGAAAGCAAAAAGATCAGAATCTCGTGACGATACTCCATAATCATCTTTAAACCTATTAACTTGATGATCATGATTTTTTTTGTTTAAAACTATTAGAATTTTTTTTGTTTAAAACTATTAGAATATATCTGTAATAAAAAAAAACCAAATGTACTTTAAATGTTATTAGAATATGTAAATTATATGTCATATTGTTCTGTTGAAAATTAACTGAAATAAAAATTTATTTCCATTGTATATCTCAGAAACTAGAGCTAATAAAAAATTTTCGTTGTTATTTTCTTTTTTCTCAGCCCAAAATTAGTATAATTCGAATAAAATTGCTAAAGATACAAAAAAAATATATTTTTTTGTTGCCCAGTGTAATCAGAGGCAATTCTACGAATAAAATGAGGAGGGGTGATGGGTGGGTTGAAGCCTAAAAACGTACCGGCTGGTTCCATTAAAAATAAAAATGGTCCTTAAAACTAAAGTTTGCCCGCCTGAATTGTGTCAAATAAGTTATAAAGTGATTTTTAAGTGATCACCCCCCCCCCTCCCCCCACTCACACATTATTAATATATTGCCTGTAGAAAGTTCAAAGGATGGTGGAGTCAATAATATTGGTAAGAGTTGCTATTGTTCCATGGTATTTTATGGTATTTACCAGTTTTGCAACTGTATCTAAATTAACTGCAAAAATATAATCTGCAGTATTGAAAATCTCTGTCAAAAAATCTCTCCTGTCTGAACTTCTCCCTTTGAATATTCAATTATGTGAACACTTAATAGAATGTCTTTTGAATCCGGAGCATCTAAAGTGGATACACCTTATCAGAGGTGTAGCTAGGCATTGGCATATGAGCAGTTGCCAAGGACGCAACATTTAAAGAGCGCCAAAATAATTTTTATTAGCATAATACGTGCGCGTATGCATTTACGACACATTTTCAAATAATAGCCTGCGTAAAGATAGTAAATTTACAAATTGTTTAAAATTGTGGCGTTTTTTGTTTCACGTTTGACGAAATGAAGTTTTTCAAATGCAGAGAGTAAAGCTATATTTTGATTGATCATACCTGTTTTTAATATAATTTTAATATAGTGTTGTGATTAGAAGTTGAGTCTATTATCTGTGAATTTTGTACTAAAGTGTAAATATTTTATTGCAGTACTGTAGTGTAGATATTTTTTGATATATAAATATATATATATATATATATATATATATATATATATATATATATATATATATATATATATATATATATATATATATATTTAACGTTAATTCACCTTACTACGGCTGAGAAGGCCACTACAGACGAGGAGACTGCTTAATTGTGGTTATGACCCTCTCTCAAACACGCACCTTGCCGAACAAGGCGGCTGCGCGGAGAAACAAGTTAAGTGCGCTACTACCAGGGATGTGGTGGGGATCGAACTCGGAACTACTCGCTTATGAAGCAAGCGCTACACCACTACCACCTCGCATCATAGCCAAAAATACAAAAAAAATTTTACATAACAATTCAAAATTTGCATATATAAAAGAAAAAAATAATGTCAGGGAAGTTTGGTGAGAATGAAACAGAAAACTTCAATACAATCAAAATATCATGTCGTGCAATGCTTGATAGTATAATAACGCAATTAACTGAAAGATTTAAAAATCTTAAAAATATTGCAAAAGAATTTAACTTTTAACAAATCAAATATGCCTTTGGAGTTGTTAAATATTTTAGGAGAATGGGAATTCTCCTAAAATATTTAACAATTTTAAAATTTTTCAAGCATTGAAAAATTTTAAAATTGTTTCTTGCATTGGATTCCTATGGGATAATCAAAATAATACAAAAAATATAGAAACACTTCAAACATTAAATGTAAACGAACGTATTATTCAGTTTCAATCAATATCGAACGAACGTATTATTCAGTTTCAATCAGAGCTCTTATAAAATCGGGTATTCGTTTTTGTCAACCATTAACCATAGTACACTTGTTCAAATCACTGGCTGTACCGAATTTATCATACGGGTTAGAAATTTGTTGTTATAATAATTCACTTCTTAATAAACTAGACGCTGTTGGAAGGTCAGCATTAAAATTTCTATTTAGTATATCGAAGTACAGCAAAAACTACCTGCATCCCTTCTTTAAAATTGATGACATATCTACCATCCTCATTCGAAACAAATTAAATCTGTTTATCAGACTACTGAACAATCCAACTTGTTTTTCCCTGATTTTGGCTCAGATATCTGATGTTACTAAAGATAACCTATTTATCAACGAAGTAATAAAAATTTGCAATCAACTTGAGCTAAACTTCGTGCAGTGTTTGATAGAGGGGAAAAAAATAACGGTAAAACGTTGCTACGATGACGTAGGAGAAAATATAGCGGCAATTTTGAACCATTTTTTTGAATTCTGGAATATCAGAGAACAAAGACTGGTATTTACTAAGTTGATGGAGGAAAACATCCCAAGAAAAGTTTAAATTTTTTACACTGAAAGTATAAACTATTAGTTTTATACAATTTGTTTTTTTACCTGTAATTTGGGTGTTAAAAAGAATAAATAAATAAATTGCCAATAACTGTAGCTACGGGTGAAAGAAACAAATTGAAATAAATCAAAAACTATTTACGATTGACATCTGGCCAAGAAAAGACATCTTCAGTCGCACCTCTGTCTATTGAAATGGAATTGACAAGAACAATAGATTTTGATAATATAATTGAAATATTTGCTAATCCTAAGACAAGGAAAGTTAAATTTAATTAAAAACTATTTATTTATGTTTTTTATGATAGTATGGATAATGTATTAAGAATAATATTTTATATTAAAAAATATTGAAAGCAATAAATTTTTTTTTTTAATTACAAATTATTTTGTATTTGTTGTTTTTCTTTTCGTCATTTCGAAAAAATTTTATGAGAGCATTAATCTGCTTTCAATGGTAGGAAGCTCTTTATCTGGTAGACCATTAATGGTAGCAAGCTCTCTATCTGGTAGACCATTAATGGTAGCAAGCTCTCTATCTGGTAGACCATTAATGGTAGCAAGCTCTCTATCTGGTAGACCATTAATGGTAGGAAGCTCTTTATCTGGTAGACCATTAATGGTAGCAAGCTCTCTATCTGGTAGACCATTAATGGTAGCAAGCTCTCTATCTGGTAGACCATTAATGGTAGCAAGCTCTCTATCTGGTAGACCATTAATGGTAGGAAGCTCTTTATCTGGTAGACCATTAATGGTAGGAAGCTCTTTATCTGGTAGACCATTAATGGTAGCAAGCTCTCTATCTGGTAGACCATTAATGGTAGGAAGCTCTTTATCTGGTAGACCATTAATGGTAGCAAGCTCTCTATCTGGTAGACCATTAATGGTAGGAAGCTCTTTATCTGATAGACCATTAATGGTAGGAAGCTCTTTATCTGGTAGACCATTAATGGTAGGAAGCTCTCTATCTGGTAGACCATTAATGGTAGGAAGCTCTTTATCTGGTAGACCATTAATGGTAGGAAGCTCTTTATCTGGTAGACCATTAATGGTAGCAAGCTCTCTATCTGGTAGACCATTAATGGAGTATTTTAGGAGATAACAAGTTTTTATTGGATTGGTCAAACAACAACATTTTTTACTTCATTTTTTTCATTTTAGTTAATATTTATTTATCTGGAATAATAAAACTAGTCTATATTTATACAATGTAAAGTTTAATAATTTATATTAAAAAATTGTTTTTAATATAAATTATTAACTGAATTTTAGGAGGATAGATAAACATGAGATTTTATTATACTACTATTATAATTAATTTAATATATATTTCATTAAATAATTATTATTTTTATTCGTTTTTTTTTTAAATAATCCATCAAATACAAATTTCACAAATGTAACCTGGAAACTACACAACTGTATATTAGCCTGTATGAATTGTGTTATATGCCTCAAGCAGTACACAAGATGTTGGCACACAGCCATCAGGTTGTCAGTGTAAAGGTAGATTCAGTTGGATCCCTTGGAGCTCTTGATGTACTAATGTATAATGTATGCCATCACTTAGATTCTTATTTATATAAAAATTTTGTTAATTTATCTTAAAGTTTAAATGTCAACCTGTTAAAATTGAAAATATTTATAAAAATATTATTTCCTAGAAAACAAGCGATGTAAAAAGTTGCATATTTACATGTTCTTATATAATTAATTTATTTTTCTTTGAGTTAAACTTTTTTTACTTCACTAGTCGAAGAGAAATTAATTAAAACACAGATATTATTGTATGCATACATCTTCCTTTACGTGAATTAATATAGTACTTTTAAAATAACTTTTAACTTAAATTTTTTCTGTTTTTTGTTGCTTTAATTTTAGCTCCATCTGTTTTTAAAGTGTGTAATTTGATAAACCTTGTGAAACATTTTGGTGCAACATTAGGTCTATTGAGATTTTGAATTAAGCAAAAAAAAAAATTTAGCTAGTTTCTTAAGCTTTTCACTACTACCAGTTCTTTTTTTTAAGTTTACATTTGTTGTCGTAGCAAGTTACTTTAACAAACAAAAAATATTTTGAAATAAAATCTTCTTATCTTATTGTCAGTATCTTTAAGCATCAGGTGCTAATATAAATTAAATGACATTTCAGTTTTCATCTCAAATGTAAAAAAATAATCAGACAGAATAAAATAGGAAAACCAATTTACCCACATATACACTTCGCAGAGGTTTGAAAAAATGTGGTATTATTTACCACGTAAACCATTTTTGGTTTACGTGGTGTTTATCAAGTTAAATTTTTTTGACCCCTAATACCTGGGGTCATTAAGGGTTAACATGATTAATTTAATTTAAATTTTTTAAAATTTAAATGTGCTTTAATTTAATTTTTCTTTTGATAAATTTAAATTCTTTTACGTAATATCAAAAACAAAATTGTGTCAGTGACTTATTTGTCATCAAAAAGCAAAATCAAATTTTAAAGCAGAAATTAATATAGTTAATGAAAACAGTAACGTTGTGGCTCGCGCAACGGTACTGTTGCTTTAATTTTTCATCTTAAAGTCACAGTAGTAAAGTCTGATTGGTTTGTTTAAAGTCATGGCATGATTGGTTGATTTGAAAGTTTTAGATATGCCAAGGAAGTATAAAACATATAGAAGTTCATTAAGCCACAAACATCAAATAAATCAACCAATCAGAACTCACGGTAGTGAATTCTGATTGGTTGACAGCAAAAGAATACTATTCATAAAGGAATAGAAGGATTCAATTCATAACTTTTCATAAATAATATAGGATTAAAAGACTCGAGTACGTTATAAAACTGAGAAGTTGGCGAGGTGAAATTTTCAAAATGTAATAACAAGTCAGTAATTGATTACTCCAATTTTACCGTTTTATCGCTTTAATTAAAAAGTTTAGTTCTGATATAACTCAAAATGTTTTTTTCTGAATTCAAAAACAATAGAGTTATATCAAAATGTTGATATTAACGCGTTAATGTATCTTAATTATCAATATCAAATTAAAATAACAATAAAAGACGCAGATCGTAATTATTAATGTAAAAAAAGAAAAAAAAAATGTAACAGAATTATAAAATATTTGCGTTTCTGTAAAACATTTACAATGTTAATAAAATCTTAAAATTTGGAAGCATTTGGTTTCAAACCGTAAAATCAAAAATTGTAAAACACAAAACTTTACAACTAAGCAAAGATAAAATCAAGCAGTATTATCAATGGCCTTATTTTTAAATTACATTCCAAGAATGTATTTAGGCTTCTACTCGATGAGCCAGTTATGAAACACATTAGCAATTGTTACAAGCTTCGACTTTATGCAACAGCAACGCTAACGATAATTAATTTGAAATATCACTTCAGCAAAAATGTGCTAAAATGTTCAAAAACGATCCTATCATTTTAAAAGCGAGGAAAAAAATTTGTCGCAGCAAACTATCGCAACATGTCGGTGAAACTAAATGTCTAATATTCAGTGTTTACTAGAGGATATTCTATGATAACGTGTTGGGTTATGTGAAGTTTCTCCAACATCTCTACTAGTCCGCCTTCCAGCGACTGTTTGTAATGTTGCGCCTTGAATTTGAGATTCAGAAACATCTTCTTCTTCGCCAAGTTGATTTTGCTTTTCCACTAAATAATAATAATATAAGTTAAGCGAAACAATTATATATATATATATATATATATATATATATATATATATATATATATATATATATATATATATATATATATATATATATATATATATATATATATATATATATATATATGGGCGATTCCGCGAGAATGGCGGTCGTAACATTTGGCACTCTTTAAGCTACTAAATACGAAACAAAAATGGAAATAACTTCCCAGAAAAGTGAAATACTATCATATAATTTAGTATATAAAAGTTACAGGATTAAAGTCCTTTACTTTTTCAAAACGCTACTCCACGTAGCGTGACGGTCGTTACGCTTACTTTTTACCAATTCTGAAAAAAACAACTTTGTCAGCCTTAATGCAGCTAACAGCATGGTAAAAAAAAAAAAAAAAAAAAATTATTTGGTGTGTATATTTAGCACATATTAATGTTATTATATGCTGAGTTTCGTAGTTTTTACTTGAGGCTTTATTAGCATTTTTATGCTTTTTTTTTGTCGTGACGGTAACAAGTAAAACGACACAATCAATGATGTAAGAAAAAAAGTATAAATGATTATTAAAAACCATGTATATTATGTTTAAAAAATGCACTATGGCATTATCAAAGTTCTTAATTATGGATACAATTTATAACGATACAATTTTTAACGCTACACAACAGCTCTGCAAATAAGCGTCAAAACACATTTATACAACCCTTACAACTTTAAAACCATGGTATGGTATGATAAAATAATTTTTTTTTAATAACTTCTTTGCTTTAAAGTAATTTTAAATAGTTATAAAAAAAAATTTTGGAGTTTGGTATGTGTTTTCACATACTAAACTCTTTTTTTGCTTTTTTTTTCCTCTTTCTCGCCCATATATATTTATATATACTTATATATACTTACACGTTGGAAATTTGGGTCTAACTCCAGAGCTTAGACCACGGTTAACAGTTGGACGCATTTGTAACTGCTGCCCACCACTAACTCCGTAATTCTGAATATCTTGTTTGCGTTCTTCTTCTCCACTTCGTCCAGATGAACCGCCCTAAACACAATAAAAGGTTAAAAAAATTGTTGCATTATAATGTGATAAATCTTGAAATTATACAATTAGAACATACCACTCTAAGTAAGTTCCAATCAAATATATAGTCATAAGTGAACCCCTGGCGATGAAACAAACTTCTGTATATCTGCCTTAAAAAGCTGTAATCAGGTTTATCGTCAAAACGAAGTGCTCTACAGTAGTTCAGGTATGTTGCAAATTCAGCTAAATAAAATAAGTTCAAATCAAAATTTAAAAAAATTTAATAATTTTCATTTTAAAATTTCATTATTTTAAAGCTTTTTTTGAAAAGTTGCAAAAAATTGAAATATTAATCAACAAAAATTACATGGATAACCACGACAAAGCTGTTCGATCGAAGTTGACATCTTTTTTTCACTTATTTTTTCATACTTTTGCCGCTTTGTTCCGGCTCGCAACCCTTGCCAAGGCAAGGTACCAAGATTAAAATACATTAACACATAAGCCAATGATTCCATATCATCTCTTCTGCTTTGCTCTTAAAAAATTTGATAAAGAATGAAAAAAAATTTAAAGTTTTAAGCTAAAAATTATATGGCAAATATACTAGAATCAAACATTAATTTACAACTCTCTGAATTGAAAAAAGAAAAAAAAATGTATTATTTAAGAAAACTGTTGCACTATGGCAATCCTTATTGGGCCTCAGTAGAACAAGATAAAAATATCTGGCTTTTAAAATAGTGTTTTGCTGAAGGTGTTTTAGATATAAAATTGATGTAACTTGTGATGAGATTGCGGGATATTTTTATATTTTATGATTAAAACTCTTAATTATTTCTTAAAAAAAGGTTATTAATCAATATTAGCTGTAATAAATAATAAATATGAGTCTAGGTAAGTCTATTTCAAACCAACCATTTCGATACTTATTTACTTGAATATTTTTTAATAAATGGTAGAAAAATAATTCGATTAAAAACTGCTCTTAAAGCAAAATTAAATATTACTATGTGCTCTTTTTCCGCATACTTGAAGCTTATTAGAACCCTCATCTCGTTTATGTTTTCAAAAGGAAAAGTCTCTAACATTTAAAGTTCAAGGAAAAAAACACAAATAAAAGTTGCTAGAACATCCAGGAACAGATACAGTAAAAGTTTGCTGAACAACTAGTAAGTGAGAATAAGTTTTGGTTGACTCTTTTAAGCAACGATCTTTATAGTGCTTGTAGAAAAAAGAAAGAGATGTAACCTTATTAAGATGGGAGAGAGGCTCAAGCTTCGCAGATAAAGTAGATCCAACTACATTTACAATGCATTTTTTGACCTTGTCTAGAAGAGAAAGAGCATCATTAGAAGAACCAGCCGAAATACGACAACAGTATTCTATACAGGGGTGAATAAGAAATTTGTAGCGTTAGAGGGAGATAATTGTGAGCATGATAAAGAGAAACAACCTTAGCAGATGCTAATTTAGCAATCGATTGTATATATGGTTTCTATGGGAGGTCAGTAATGAATGATAATCAAAAAAGACGTAAAGAAGAGGACTCTGTGAGTGGGTTGCCATTCATTAATATAGGAATGTCAGCAGTATTGAAATAGTTATTCGCAGTAAATAACTCTGAGTTTTGTTAGCATTAAAACTTACAAGCCATTGCAAGCCACAAGCTGTAACATAATTGAGATCAAATTTAGGAATGGTTATATGCCTGTTCTAAATGATCAAGAAGAAAAAGACTTTTTTAAAAGACAGGAGTATAAAGTTGAGCTGTCAGCAAATAGATGGTTTGATGTAAGATTGTCAGGAAAATCATTAATGTAGATAAAAAAACAATTCAGGACCAAGGATAGAACCTTGAAGTACATCAGAAGTTACTGGAAATGAAGTGTTGGATGACTTTAATACTGCAGTTAGAAAGAAATGATTTCTCAAAAATTTTCCCAGAACATCATATCATACCATATGAAAGAAGCATATGGAGAAGACCAGCAAGCCATTCAGTGTGATGAGCATTTAAGTTACCAATAAGAACAATATTAGCTGAGGGGTAAATAAAGAACAAAGAGAAAGTTGATAAAGTGAAGAGGTGCTAAGTGAAAGCACATAAAATGGATACAGGATTCAACAATTTAACAAATAAATGAATCGATGCATAAGTATACACCCAAACCAACCATGATACTAATGGAGTCTTTGCAAATCAAAGGATGGTACCCATCAGTACTAAGATCCGAAGAAGAAACACCTGAATTTAAATTAGTCTCACAACAAGCAAATAAATCTGGCGAATTTTGTAGGAGGAAAGATTTAACTGATGAAAAGTTACTTTGAAGACCATGAACATTTGTAAAAGATATATTGAAACAGTTAAATGGTGATGATGGTTTTTTATGTTTAATATTATTGGTTCCTTTGGGAATGGTTTAAGTTAAAGGGATTTTGACTCATTCATAGATAAAACATGGCATCCCAAGCAATGAGTTATGCAGTTGTCTCAGTGCTAATCATCCCAAAGTTGCAATTTAGGGTTCCTTATGTGACCTCAACAATGCACACCAAAAGCAATAACAGGGACACCATCCATGCATAACATGACACCGTTAATACTCTGATATTTTACAGCTGTTAACGGTAACAGCCTCTCTGAAAGCTACCACAGAGTTTAGGAAACCTTACTAACAGCTGGCCTCAGACCACTAAACTGATTTTTAGAGCTGTACCATCATTGAGAGATTACAGGAAGAGTAAGCCACTACCAAAGAGGCACAAGCAAATATCTAAGATTAGAGTCAAGAATATCTAGCATTCATCATCCTAGGAAACAATGTAATACAGGTTTACATGTTTAGGATTTCAAAACTTTAGATTTGAAGTTTTGAAAAAGTCAGATTTCCAGGTTTATCTTAAAAAAAACAACTTTTGTCTTGAAAGCCATGTTACATTTGTGTCCACCATCATTGTTATTTGAATTATTTATGATGCATATTTATTTATCTTTCAGAAAATGTATAGTTTTGTGACCTAAAAATATAATCTCTTTTACCACTATACTATCATTTTCAGAATAGTAAATTGATTTTTGAAATTTATAAATATTAAATTTAGGAGCAAAAGGTCTAATAGGATAATAAGGAGAACTTTGCAGTTTGTTTGAGAGTTAACATAAAATCACTTTTTAAAAATAATATTTTTACAAATATTGATTTTAAAGTATATAATTTTTAAAATCAGAAATTATCAACCATCAAATTAAAAGTCATCAAGTGAAAGTGCCATGCAAATTTCTTTATGAATATATTTATAAAAAATATAACAAAGCTGTCGAGTTATATACTGTCTTAATATGCCAAAAAATATCTCCACTTTTTTTCAAAAACAAATTATTGGTATCATTATATAGTATGAAGGATATCCAACATATTTAATAAGCAAAAATTACGTATATTTGATTATCATCCTGAAAAATTTTAAGAAAAAAAAAACATGTCAAATACAGGCTGTAAAACGTAATAAAAACACTTAATATCTAACAATTATGAAATGTGGAGATTTTTTGGCTTAGTAGGGCAGTATAGTGAACCCAATAACTACTCTTAAAAGTAAACATTTTGCGTAAATATCCTGATATTGCAAAAATATTCAAAAAAAGTTTAATTAACCTAATTATTTACACTACAATGATACAATGTATTTAATAAGTTCTAATAGTTTAATAATGTCCTAATAGATATATTGTAATGCATATATATATATATATATATATATATATATATATATATATATATATATACATATATATATATATATATATATATATATATATATATATATATATATATATATATATATATATATATATATATATATATATATATATATATAAAATAAACACAGTAGGCTAAAACTAGTGAAAATCTATTTAAAAAAAAAAAAGATGATGATATTGTTATATAAAGAAATATATAAAAAAATATCTCAATCGTAGTTTTTTCTTCTTTTTTTATTAAACATTTAAAAAAGAGTTTTTAGCATACTGGGTTTTGTAAAAATTTGTATTTTTAAAAATGATATTTTTGATATATATGCATGATAATATACATGATAATATCATGATAAAATCATAAGTAAAAATAAAACAGTTAAAAATTTAGTAAAAGTAAATAAATTACCTATTCCAAGATGTGTATTGACGCTTGCATAACGTGCAGTTCCTGTTAAATTTTTGTTTTCTCTATAAGGAATATGTTGATGTGTTTTTTGGTCACGATATTTCTTTGCAAGACCGAAATCAATAATATAAACAAGATTGCCTTTTTTTGCTAACCCCATAAGGAAGTTGTCTGGCTTAACATCTCTGTGTATAAAGTTTTTTGAATGTACATATTCTAAGCGACTAATCTAAAGGTGTGAAAGAAAAAAAATTCATAAGAAACAAACAATGTTATTCAATTTGATAAAAAACAAGAAAAAGATATAAAAGATTATTTTTACTTTGAACTATTTTCAGTTCGCTATAAAAACATTAGAACAAACATATTACAACTAACATATTACAACTAACATATTACAACTAACATGCAAAATTGTTGCAACATAATACACTAAAATTGTTGCAACATAATACACTAAAATTGTTGCAACATAATACACTAAAATTGCTGCAACATAATACACTAAAATTGTTGCAACATAATACACTAAAATTGTTGCAACATAATACACTAAAATTGTTGCAACATAATACACTAAAATTGTGGCAACATAATACACTAAAATTGCTGCAACATAATACACTAAAATTGTTGCAACATAATACACTAAAATTGTTGCAACATAATACACTAAAATTGTGGCAACATAATACACTAAAATTGCTGCAACATAATACACTAAAATTGTTGCAACATAATACACTAAAATTGTTGCAACATAATACACTAAAATTGTTGCAACATAATACACTAAAATTGTTGCAACATAATACACTAAAATTGCTGCAACATAATACACTAAAATTGTTGCAACATAATACACTAAAATTGTTGCAACATAATACACTAAAATTGTTGCAACATAATACACTAAAATTGTGGCAACATAATACACTAAAATTGCTGCAACATAATACACTAAAATTGTTGCAACATAATACACTAAAATTGTTGCAACATAATACACTAAAATTGTTGCAACATAATACACTAAAATTGTTGCAACATAATACACTAAAATTGTGGCAACATAATACACTAAAATTGCTGCAACATAATACACTAAAATTGTTGCAACATAATACACTAAAATTGTTGCAACATAATACACTAAAATTGTTGCAACATAATACACTAAAATTGCTGCAACATAATACACTAAAATTGTTGCAACATAATACACTAAAATTGTTGCAACATAATACACTAAAATTGTATTAAAAAATAATATTTTATAATACCATTATGAAATAGGGGTAAACAAAAAAAGAAAGAATTGCAACAAATAAATTAAAAACTAAAAAAATTTTAAAAGTTTTTTTTACAAATTAAAAAAATCTGTTTCAGCTATAAATTTTACAACTCTTTTGAATAAACATAAAATTTCCATTGAAAAATGAATAAATTACATGAATTAAACTTTGGTCTATTTTTAATTAAATTCTTTTTTCTACAAAGTTTTATCATAATTAGAATTTTACAGTTATTAGTATGCATTTATTATATATATATATATATATATATATATACATTTATTAGTATGCATTTGAGTACTTCAAAACAGAGCACAAGTAATGCATTAATAAGGTAGTTGGACTTTCAAAACTTCATACATAATACTATTAATGCAAAGCATTAGGGGTCAAATCCATCATTTGCATTTCACAGTACCATGCTCGACCTGTTTTTCTGGCTTTATTTAACAAGGTTTCAGAGTCTAGGTTTAAGACAGAATTGCAAAAAAATAAAAATAAAAAAAATGGCACTCCAGGTAAAACGACAATGTGTAAAAAAACCATGTGTAAAAAACTACAATGTGCAAAATCTACAATGTGTAAAAGAACTACCATGTGTAAACTTTTGATCTATTGAAGAACTAAAATGTGTAAACTATAATAATTAAATAAATTATAATAATTAAATAAATTATATTAATTAAATAAATTATTTTAAAATAGGATTTAAATTATTTGATCAAAAATTTGATTTCATTTGATTTTAATGTTATGAGTTAATATATTTCATAATTTTAGCATATTTTATAGAAAAATGATTAAAATGAGACATAGACACACATTACCTCACTAAACATCTTAGTCATGGTCAATAAATTATCTTTAATTAATAAATTAACCATGATTCAAAGCAATGCTCTTTTAACACTTTTTTAAAATATGAATAATTTTTATGAAATTAACTAAAAATGATGTCCAATTATAATTTTAGGATTTCCGTTAAAGTTTGCCGGAATAAGGAGGTACCACTGCCAAAATTTTTTTCCTAAAATAGGGCCTGTATATATATCTCTTTATATCGTAGTCAAAAAAGACTTTTAATGTAAAAAGAGTCTCTTGTTTATTAGTTTTGTTTTTTATTCTTGTTTATTACTAAGTCTCTTTCGACTACAATTTTACTACCTCGACAATTAAGCTACATTTTATTGTTGTCAAAATTTCAAAGGAATTAAATTAATGCGAAATTGTTTTTTAAAAAAACTGCAATAAAAATGACTAGAAAGTTTTTTTTAATTGATGGTGTTTTTATTGTTGTTTTATCAAAATATATTTTTAAAACATGCGCAGAGTGTTGCTACATTGACTATCTTATAGCCTGCTGCTACAAGGGAGTGTTGCTACATCGACTATCTAATAGCCTGGCTCGCAAGGGTGTGCTGCTAGATTGACTGACAAATAGCCTGACTTGCAAGGGAGCGCTGCTACATCGACTGAGGGTATGGTTTAGGCAGGCAGTCTATCATTTAAAAAAAAAAAAAATTCAAGTTTTTAAACTTTTTCTGGTCAGGTTTATTAACGCGCTCTTTAAAACTACAGTTTATGGGAAAAACCTTTTTTTACGTACACGTAGAGCTGTTTTGGTTAAGCTACTATTTATCATTTATTAACTTTTAAATTAGCGGTAACATAAAAGAAGTAATTAATTTTTAAAAAAACCACATTAACTTTTAAATGATATGTAAAGATTGGGTCAAAGATTACAAAAAAGAATTTACGTTAAAAATAATTGTTGTAACTTTTCATCGCGATATATCTTACCTTTTTATAGCAATTAATTTTACGCTAAACTTTTTATCCAAA